ATATATATCAATCACAGCTCTGAGGCGTCCTCCTTCACGGGTTCATTAAGTCTTGTGGAAACCTTCACGGGTTCATTAAGTCTTGTAACAACCAGGAGTGGGTAGGAAGGCTGCAGGTCTTTCTTGTGCTGCTCTCAGGGAAACTGAGGCAGAACTGGAACAAATGAATGTCTGCAAAGGAGTAAGTCTCAGACTCACAGAGCCTAGTTCTTAGGCCATCAAACCATTTCACCATCTCCCAGGAAAGATGTGCTCTCCCCCGCCAAGAAGCCATGGGGCCTATACTTTTCTCAGACATAGACCCTTGTTTTCAGAATGTTCTTCAAGCACTAGGGCCAAAAGATCCCCTAGGGGTCATGTGGTTCCTCTCTTTAGTCCAAAAGGGGTGCAGTTCAACCACTCTCAAGAGGTTCCGAATATTCTTAGAGTCATGGGTAGCCTGTTTTGTGTCTCACAGTTTCCAATAGTCAGGAAAAACTTCCACCCCTGCCCTAAAAGGTAATCACAGCAATAGTCTGAAGGGCTGTTTTGTCCTAAAGAAGGTAAATCAAATGCCCCTTATAAAGATTAGATGAGAAGCAATAAAGCTACATCTTTACATAGATGCAAATAAACAAGACATTTAAGGATATTAAATAGCCCCTACACCCCAACCTTGCTCCAGCTCCTCTTTTGTCTCTACACTTTGCAGGTCCCTGAAAACCTGAGTAAGAACTCTGGCTCTGCTATACTATCCGAATGACCTTTCCTGTGTGATTTAACTTCTCTGTGCCTCAGCTTACTCACTGATAAAATGGGGATAACAATAGTAGCTACCTCACAAGGTTGTTGTGAAGTTTATATGCTGCATTGTAAGTGAAGTGTTTAGCACAGTGCCTGGTACACAGAAAGGGCTCAATAACCAGTAGCAAACATTTGCATCAGTATTTTTAGCATTATTACAGACGTCCCCAGTTAACCTGTCCGTCAGACGCCGACAGACCAAGCCCAAGTCTACCCCGGAGCAGGCGTCTATTTCTCGACTTTTTTTTTCTTTTTTCTTTTCGAACCTTGGCAAAGAAATATCCCTAAATGACAAGGAGCCCTCAGGATGGCCATGGGGCTGAGTGTGAAGGGGGAAATCAGGACCCGAAGAGGAGTTTCTCTTTTGGCAGACGCAGGCTCCTAAGGGCCTAAGTCTAGGAGTCTCTCTAGGAGGACGCCCCAGAAGGGGTTGCGGACCTGGGACGACTGGAGGGCAGGCCCGCGGCCAAGTGGGCGCGAATGAATGAACCCGTAGTACCCTGCCACGTCTGGGCCTGGGAAGCAACTCCCGCCCCTCTCCCGACCCGTCATTAACGTGACCTCTGACCCCAAAAACCCCTCACCTCAGACCCCCGACTCCCCGCCCCCTTCTTCTCCTGCCTCGTCGGACTCCCCGCTTCCTCACTCACAGGTCCGAACTGCTCCAGGCACCACGGTGCGACTCAGCAGGACAGCAAAATGTCCGCGGCCTTGTCCTCCCGTTCTCCCGGTGCGTCCGTGCCGCCGGCTGCTTGGAGCCCCACGGCTGTCACCTGCCGGGCGGAAGTGAGCTGCCTGCGCGCGGGCACTTCCGGTGGACGCACGGCCTGGGGGTGGGGTCAAAGGTGCAACCCGGACGGGAGGTGGGGCCCGCGGGGCGGGGCCAAGGGGGGCGGAGCCGACTGGAATTCACCACTTATCAGCTGCCGCGAGACTGAGGCTCTGAGATGGGCAGAGTTTTGCTCAAGATCACTTAACTTATGAATAAAAGAGTCAAAATTAGAACAGCAAGTTTAGTCAAGCGCTTGCTGCCCTTCAGTGCAGCCCTTTGGAAATTCTTCGTTTTAGGAGGAAACATCAGATCCTCCAAGGAACTGTTATCCAAGGAGAACTTCATAATGTTCCATTTCCTGGGTCTGCCATTTCCTGAGTCCACCTCCCCACCGACTCTGGTACTGTTAACTTTCTCCTTATAATTTCTTATCCACCCCTTTAAAACACTTTCATTGCTACTCTTTAAAAATGTCTTACTGGGCAAATAATTTTTGTATTGTAGAGAAACGGAAAAGCACTAGTAAGCAAAAAAGATAAAAAATCATCTGTAATCCCAATGTTCTGAGACAATCACTTTTAAAATTTTGGTGAATATCCTTCGAGACTTGATACATTACTTAGTACTTTTAACTCATCAAAATATTGGTAAAAACTTTCCCAGGGCAATAAATAGATTTCTATGTGGTGGTTTCCAATACCTGTATAATATTCTATTGTAGAGATGATATTACTGTTCTCAAAAATAATCCCTATAGTTGTATACTTAGGTTGTTATCAACCTTTTAATATTATAAAAATAAGCTTGCACAGCCAAGTCCATATGTCTCATCCAATCAATTGTTGTAATATTTAGTATAGTCTTATATGTTTAATCAGCCTCAAGTCCTTTTATAAATTTTTCACTTTTAGTTATCTTTCTCTAATGATATTGGCAAATGTCATCAGCCTCACTGAAAAACAAAATTTCATTGGGAATGTAACATGGAAAGAGAAAAATTATCCAACAAAACAAACCTAACAGACCTAAAGGTGTCAAGCTGGAGAATCTATGTGAAAGAGGCAAGTTAGTGATAGAAGTCAGAGCTTTAAGATTGCCAAGACAGAAGTCACAGTGTCAGTTTACTTAGGAAGTACATCCTGGAGAAGGTGGCATTTGTGCTAGGCCTCACCTAATGAGAATAGAGTTGCACAGGCTGAGATGGAAGGAAAAGGAAATCCAAGGACAACAGTGCAGAGGATGGAAGGCAAAGGAACCAGGGATCTGGGTCCTTCAGAAAGCATTTTCTAAGCCCCTACTCTGAGTCAGGCCCTGGGCTGGGCATTGGATAGTCACACAGATGAGGCAAAGGCCCTGCCCTTGCTGAACCTACAGTTTTGTTGGGGGATAGTGACAGAGCTGCAGACACAAATGTGATTGGTGCTGTGATAGGGGATGCACTGGGGCTATGGGAGTTCAGAGCAGGAACTGAAGTTCCTCCAGGGTTGGAGGGACCAAGGGCAGCCTAGACAAGTGGGCGGCATTTAATCTGAATTTGCAAAACAACAATGAATGTTTATGTGCCCGTGGTACGTGCAAAGGGTCTCATTTGCTCCTCACATCAGCCCCATTTTATCTGGGTAGGAGCAAACTGCAACTCCAAGACCTTAAGTCTAATGGTGTCTGAGTGGCAGAGCTGAAAGACTAGTCCCAGAGCCCCAGGATACATGCCCTCATAGTCCTACTCATTCACTTATAGGAAATTGCAAAAATAGTACAAAGAGTCCCATGTACACTTCACCTAGTTTCCCTCAATGGTGACATTTTATATATTGGTAGTATAAATCAAAACCATAACGTTAGCATTGATACAATACCATTAACTAAATATATAGAGCTTATTCCATTTTTAAATTCTTTTCCAAAGTAAGCAGGGAACAAATGGAATAATTTTATGTGCCATGTTCCACATGGCATGCTATGCACAGCTATCTTGTGATGTCATAAAATGACCCTGGACCTGCCGCTGGCACTGTGAGAGAGAGCTTCAGCAAGTCCCTTCCTCTTTCTGACACACAGACTCTCAGAATCCATCCTCCCACCCTACCTCCACACTCGAGCATAATAAGTAATGTTGAATTAAGTATTCTTTCCATCCATGCCCACTAGAGGGCCCACAGGTGACATTAACTGCCACCCTTCCCTTCGGATGAAATTGTCACACAGGTAGCCCACAGCATGACTTTCTATGTCCCAACCTTCTTTCTAGATTATTCTTATGTGATTTCTGTTCCTCTCTGGCAATTTGTTTCCTTGCTGTTTTTGTTGTTTTTATCCTATGAATTTCTAAAAGTTGCCTCAGATCTTTTCTGGAAGGAGGCAAGAGGTGACTTTGTCCATAGCCTCACTAACAATGCCTGCTCCCCACCTGCTGAGGGCAGACAGCTCCAAATCCTTCCCAAATAGAGCAAGCCTGGCACTTTCCCCAGGGCAGAGGGGCCTAGAGGCTTCCTGAGACTCCTCCTCTGCCCCCATCTCTCCCTGCCGCAAATGCCCTCATTCACCCATCTCTGGTTTCTCTAGGAGCAAAATTCTGCTCACCCTCTCCTGGCTCCACAGCCACCAGGCCGTTTCTCAAAGGGTCTGCTTTCTTCTCTCAGTTGCTCCTGAGAGTGACTAAACCATCCTCTGCTGGTACGACTTCCCAATTTGGAAAATGGAGCTGATTGGGCCTCCCTGCGAAGTTGTTAAAGAAATGAAATTGTAGAACTGATGTACGGTGCCTGGCAACCTATAAACAAACCCTTCCCCGATGGTACCTGATGGTGACAACACTAATTTGTTAATATTAATTCAGCTCAGCTACCTCCTGGCTGTGCATCTAGGAGTGCATAACTTAGCTTCTTTGAGCCTCAGTTTCCCCATCTGGAAATGAAACTAATCCCCTACCTTACATAGAGGTCAAGAGAATTACAGTAGATGTTGTAGGTAACATTCTTGGAGCCATACCTAGCAAGCATTAAAGAAGCAGTAATGATTGTTAAAGGCCGTACATTAGAACACAAAGAAAATGTCAATGAACTCCAATATAGAATTGGAATCCACACATCATTCTTTGATCACAATCTTAAAAACTAGAAATTAATAATAAAACCAGAAAACTGACTACACTTGGCAAATAAAATACTCTCTTATAAATAACCCTGAAACTTCTATGCACGTAACGATGCTCCCTTCTGAAATCTCACTAAAACAGTCAGGGAATTTTAGAATTTTGATAAAATATGTGTAACATAAAATTTACCATTTTAACCATTTTAAGTGTACACTTTGGTGGATTAAGTATATTAACATTGTTGTGCAACCATCACCACCATCCATCTCCAGAACTCTTTTCATCTTCCCAAAATGAAACTCTAAACTCAGTAAACACTAACTCTCCCTTCCCCCATCAGCACCATTCTCCCTTCTGTCTCTGTGGATTTGACTACTCTAGGTACCTCATATAAGTGGAGTCATACAATATTTGTCCTTTTGTGTCTGACATTCACTCAGTATAATGTCTTCAAAGTTCATCCATGCTTAGAATTCCATTCTTTTTATGACAATAATATTCCATCGTACATGTATACTACATTTTGTTGATCTATTTATCCCCTGATGGACACTTGTGGGTTGCTTCCATTCTTTTGGCTATTGTGAATGATGCTGTTAGAAACATGAGCGTACAGATACCTGTTTGAGTCCCTGCTTTCAATTCTTTAGGGTCCATATGCAGAAATGGAATTGCTGGATCATATGGTGGTTCTATGTTTAAGTTTTGAAGGAACTGCCATGCTGTTTCCACAGCAGCTGTACCATTGTACATGCCTACCAGCAATGTACAAGAGTTCCAGTTTCTCCACATATTCACTGACACTTATTTTCTATTTTTTGGATTTTTAAAAATAATAGCCCTCTTAATAGGTGTGAACTGGTATCTCATTGTAGTTAAGGGATTTTTAAAGGTATAAATATACAAGAGCCATGAGAACAAGGAGACGATGGTGACAACACTAAAAATGAGAACACAAATGGATCAAAATTTACTAACTTGGCTGAATCCTAAGCCATAAGGAGGGAAGCTAAGAATTAACACAATTTATACTGCAGGGTCCCAAAGATTCAGAAACTGGTGGCACCAGAAACTCCTAGAAGTGGGAATGAAGAATTAACTAAAATTTGGAGAATTGATTGAAAGTCTGAAAAAGAGTTAGATATCCCTAGATCCTTCCTTAACTCTGACATAAGACATTATGTACCCCCCTCATCCAGCAGAAAACTGAGGCTAACCCTCAGAAAAGAGTAAAACAAAGGGCCCTGGACCATGGAACATCAGCACAGAGCGGGCAGGGTGGGGCGTATCACAGTGAAAACAGGGAGGATACAGGGATTCTGGGCAATGAGGATCACAGTGGACAAGCCCACTCATGCCAGAGCTGTTGCTCAGCTGTTAGTGCATCACTTAAAGCTGAGGAAGCAGCCAAGGATCACTAGGCATTTGAGGAATGTGGAAGTGAAAGGCCAAGATCACAAACAGATTAAACAACAGAGACACAATCTAGATTAGTTGCTGGAAGGAAACATAAGACACTGATAACATTGACCCCTGTGGGGAAGGGACCTGGGTGGCCGAAGGACATGGGATGATAGGAGACTTTCCACTGTACTTCCTTTTGAACCTGTTAAATTATTTTAAACTTTTCATTTTGAAATACTTTTAGACTTACAGAGAAGTTACAAATATAGTAGAAAGTCCCCATCTACCCTTCACCCAGCTTCCTCTAATGTTAGTATTTTATCTAACCATAGTACAATGTTCAAACCCTTGATACTAAACTATAACTAACTAAACCAGAGACTTTATTCAGATTTCACCAGATCTTCACTAAAGGTTTTTTTCTGTCTCAAGATCTAATCCAGGTTCCTGCATTGCATTTCATCATCATATCTTTCTAGTATTCTTTGGTTTGTGATAGTTTTCAGTTTTTCCTTTGGTTTATCAACTTTA